GGCTCAAGAGGTTTCAGAGGAGAAGAATTTTAGTATATTGCCTAGAGATCATTATTGTGATATTTTGATGAAGAATTTGGCTGATTTTTGTCCTTGTCTGAAGAGTCTGCCTGAGGCTAACGTGAAGAATTTTGGATTAAGCCTGTAGGCAGAAGAAATCTCAAAACAGTGTAGTATAGACTCTCCAGGCTGGGATTATAAGCACACTCTGCCACGCCTGACCTTGGTGTGAGTGCTGAAGATGAAGCGCACCCTCATTCTGTGCAGCAGCACTTCCCAGTCTGGTGCCTTCCCAGCCCCTTGTGACTATGTTAAGAAAACGCATACATGTGTACACACGGGTAACGTGCTTTGGGTTGTTTGGTTATTGTATGACTGGACCGGATCTGCTTACACCAGGTTGGTCTTGATGCTGCAATTCTCCCGCCTTCACCTCCCAGCTGCTGGGCTCTCACGCTCAACCCACTCGTGTATGCCCAGTCTCTTCCACGTCATTTGCTTTGGAAAGAACACTGCCTGGGGTGACTATTCTTGTAGATCATACAATAGATGCAATGAAACAACTTTAATAATGCACGTCTGTGCACATGTGCATCTGCATAACATTTTATAATCTGGGTTGCTAAGTCAACAGTATGACTCCTTTGTCTTCTGTTTTGCGGTTCCTATGAGCTATGGATTCACAGATGTGATTAAGAAGTAAAGCTCTGTTGTCAGGCACCGTGATGGAGATGGATATCGGCCCACGGCTCGGCTTGGGAGCGCAAGGTTTAAACTTTTATGTTTTAGAAAGGATGATTTTGGCCGTACAGTCCAGCTGCCCTGCTGGCATAGGGCAAATGTTTAATAAGGAAGGCATTTCGAGTTGTCTGTTTCTAGGCTGTTTTACATCGTGTGGGTAGAGACTCTCGTTAAGGGATATAAATATATACATAGGTATATACATGTTGTATAAACACATCTGAGACTATATATACTGTGATAGATGGGGCTGTCTATTCCTGGAAGACACAGCTGTCATGTTGGTTTAATATATTTGTCTTCTGTGACAGCTCATATGTACAAATAGCTGTTGGAAAGGAATACAGTGCCATGCCTCTGCCTTGATACCCAGTTGACAAAATAGAGCTTTTTAATATATATGAAATATATATTTAGTGTCACAATTTATCATCATAGCTGTTCATATAAAACTTGGTCACCTGACCAGAGCCTTAGAGTGACCCAAATGTCCCAAGCATTATTGGAATTTTGCTATTGCATAGTGTTCCTTTCCGGGGAGCTCAGGGACTATTGATAGACATCCGTGTCGCTGGGCTCTCTCATTGAATGTTGTTCTGGTTGAGATCAGTAGTTTCTCTCAAGTCTCCAAGTTTAGTTTATTATAGCTCACTTGAATTTGTACAGCAATTATGATCTCATACAACGCCTTAACTTGTCCCAGTGACCAAAGACAAAGAAGAGAGAGGAACTGCGTTAGAAACCATTTTGTTTAAAGAAATGTTCCTCATCTTTGCAGCCATATAAACCTGTAGTGTCACTCAAAATTCTGCTGTCTGTCTGGGTACCCATTGAAACTGCTCTGAAGTCGTCTACTGGGCAGGTCTCAGCCACAGCCCTCTGCAGTGTGCCTCCAGATGCCTGTCACCTTCCTGGACCTGGCCGGCCTCCCCTTTCCTTCACAAAGCAGTCAGTGTGGTATTTCTAGTGTGAAAGCAACTCTATGCTTGCCTCGAACTCGCGATCTGAAATTGCTTCTGGTCAGTGAACGCGCCCTGTGTGCTCCTGTTGTAGGCACGCATTGTTCCCAGCTCTGTCTTCGCATTTCTCACGTTGTTCCCCTGAGACTTCCTCATCCTGCGAGACTTGCATCAGCAGCTCCGTGGGCCATTTTTGAAATGATGGACACACAGAGCCTTCTGTATTTGGTTACAGATCTTTCAAGAGGCTGTCCGGTAGTTAGGAGCGATGATTCCCTGGAGTCCAGGCGATTCTTGGGTGTAAGTATGAAACTTTTCACTATCACGTATGTAAGTGACAATCACAGGGCACGAATCACATCAGATACCCACGAAGACAATTTGTGAAGGTCTGAAGTAGCTTTCGCCACCTTACCAGCAGGTGGCGCGCGAACCCCACGCTTTAAGCCTCTCTGGCTTTGTGATGTAGCACACTAATTGGGCTGTTAAGGGAGGAGATGATAATTCACGCACTGTTTACAGAATAAAGCTGATTTAACCTTCAGTTTTTCTATAAGCGTTTTCTTTTTCAAACGCAGCGTTCCAACTGAAATTGCTAAAGTAAAATGGAAGACTTCAACTTGAAAAAATGACTGGAGAGAAATAAAAATTTAAGACGGGGCCTCAAGTCAGGGGAAATGTGAAGCATGAAATCAACACTTGGGGATGGGAACAGCGGGATCGCAGAGGCAGCCACTCACACAAGCAGCTCCCAAGCGAAAGGCGGACAGTCTGAGGCTTGAGCCAGAACACGGAAGGAAAGACAAGGGCCCGAACGCAGCTCTTACGTTTGAAGAGCTGGAACCCTGGGTGAAGAACTTCCCACGGTGTACCTGTGAACACGATCCTGCCACACTTTCACAAACTGAGAGCCATGGAAGGCAGGAAAGCAAGCACAAAGGGAGCAGCCTGGGTGGCAGTCTTGGAAGGTGTGAAGATGTCAGGGGAAGAGAATTGTTGAAGAGAGTGATGGGGGCTCACAGCTCAGGGCAGTGAAGGAAAAGTCTTGATAGCAGAAGGTCCACGTTGTACGTTCCAACATGCGCTTCCTGTGTGGTGTGCACTGGGTGGGGCTGTTCTCTAAGTTTGTCTGCTTTTGAACATTAGGCCTTCAGCAAAGGGTGTCATGAGAGAAAAGACCTGTGTACTAGCTGGCTTGCCTGTCAACTTGACATGAGCTATAGTCATCAGAGGAAGGAGCCTCAGCTGAGGAAATGCCTCCATGAGATCCAACTGTGAGGCATTTTCTCAATCAGTGGTCAGTGGGGGAGGGCTCAGCCCATGGTGAGCGGTGGCATCCCTGGGCTGCTAGTCCTGGGCTTTATCGTCCTGGGCTTTAGAAGAAGGTGGGCTGGGCAAGCTATGTGAAGCAAGTCAGCAAGCGACTTCCCTCCATGGCTTCCGCATCAGCCCCTGCTCGGGGATCCTGCCCTGTTTGAGTTCCTGTCCTGATTCCTTTGGTGATGTGCAGCAAAGCTGAAGTGTAAGCCTCACAAACCTCCCCAACTTGCCGTTTGCTCAGGGTGTTTTGTTACAGCAGTAGAAACCCCAATTAAGACAACACGTGAGCTCGCCTTGTTTTTAAAATGCTGCATCAGCGTAAGGTAACGTTAGAGAAGTCATCACAAATAAAAACAGACCCTCAAAGAACAGCAGCGTTTATTTGAGAATAACACTGCAAAGGGAAATCCACTTGCCATAGTGAACTGTGGGCACATTGAAAAAGTTGAGGGTTAAGCTCAGATTATTTTGTTTTTGCTGTTATTTTTTTCTAGTTCTTGCCATTCCCTTCTTCTTTCCTCCCTTCCTCCCTCCCTCCTCCCCCCTTTCTTCCTTGGCAGGGTCTGATGTAGCCCAGGCTAGCCTCAAGCTCACAGTGCAGCTGGGATGACCTTGAACTTCTCATCCTCTGACTTTGTCTCTACCTCCCAAGTGCTAGGTTCTGGTTGTCTCTCCACACAGTCTGGCTCCTGCAATGCTGGTGATTAAACTCAGGACTTAAGCATGCCAGGACAACCACTGTACCAACTGGGGTATCTCCAGTACGAAGGGAAGCTTTAAAAATATGAAACAGAGGCGGGATCATCAGATGCTATGAAACAGTAACCCTGACCAAACGGTCAACTGCAGGATCCCCTCAGGCTGAGGTGGAACTGAGAGCTGCTGGGGAGATGCCCTGTAGAAGGACATTTGATATAAGGCTGTGGTGGCTTCTCTGTGGGCTGTGGTCCTGGCAGTCTTTCCTGGTGGTTTCCATCAGGCAGTTGTGTGCAAGAGCCCTTGCTTTACAGGCTCCTGGGTTTGCTCACCTTATGTTGCTAGAGATGGCAGAAGCATCTCTACTCTAATCCTGACAACTCTCGTGTTATTTTTGTACCGAAGAATACGGAAACCTCCGATGCAGTGCCAGGCACTTTACATAAAAATCAAGAGCCCGGTGCCAATGGATACATCTACATGACACTCCTCCTCCTAAAGCTCAGGGGACATTACAGAAGAGGTGGCAGAAAGATTGTAAGAGCCGGAGAATCCGGGACTTTGGTACAAGATTGTGTCTCCTAGGAACACCTAAACTACACCCGTAATGTCTTACCTTGACTACCCAAACATAAGCAGAACAAGACCTACACTAATAGAGTAGATGCAGAGATGTCACCAGGCCTCAGCCTTACACAAAGAACTATAGGCAACCGAGAAAAGTGGATCCAAGATCCCGGGCACTGCGGACCCACAGACTCCCAGTGGAGCCTCTTGGAGATAGCCAGTGATCTTTCATCAGATGAATACTTAGGTCTTTTAGGTACGAGCACATGAGACTTTCCATTTTTAACTTAGTGACCTCATCTACTGACGGGGCGCTCCAGATTTGGAAGCCAGCCCTGCCTTCGTACGTAAATGTGTCCTGAGAAAATGGAAACCAAAGTGTGTGTTGGGCAAGGGCAGTGATCTGTATTCTAAGGTTACTTCAATACATGCACAGATCTGTAAGTTTTACTGTGTTTTGTAATTTGCATTTAAGAAGTAAGTGCACTTGGCCTGGCGACGTGTGTGGTTTGGCACGCACACACTCTGGCATGCACAGCTTCCAAGACCCAAGTTTCTCTAGTGAACTTCACATTGACTGGGTAAAAAGAGAAGAAAATAAAAAACAGCGAAAGACAAAAGATCCAAATTTTATTCAGTTTAAGTTGATAGAAGAGAATCTAGCAGAAGTCCATTTCTTTGATTCCTTCATAACATTTTTCTTCCATTCATATTTAACATTTTATATAGGTTATATATGAAGTATTTGCTAATAAAAGAAGCCAAACAGTGTAGGAAATTAGGCTTTGAAACCCCTCCCCCCCCACACTGTTGAAGTTTGGATCCGAAGGCAAACACCGTGAGGCTATTAGAAACCCATGTAAGGAGCTGTGATTTTTATAGATCGTCTTACGTTCTTCTTCAAGCATTTGTTATCTTTTTTCCTTGAATGGACTTCGTGTCCTGCTTTTAAAATGCTGCTCAAATGTCCTGTCCAGGGCTGTGAGCAGCTTGTGCCCCAACAAGATGACCAGTGCTGCTGTTTGTCGTTCTGTCTGGAGCAGAGTTAATTTTCTCCCCGGAGGTCATGGTGATGAACGAAACCCCATGAGCACAGGTACAGCCGACGGTGGGGCTATCTTGTGCGTTGGCATTTTATCTGTAATCAGAGGCTTCATCACCACAGATCCTGTCAGCTACCCCCAAATACGTTGGCTTTATTAATACAGGTTGTTCCTTCTTGTTGCATAATGAGCTCCACGATGGGTAGCTGCTCAAAGACCCAGCAGAAAGAAAAGCTGATCATCCGTCATTACAGAAGGCAGGGGAATTGGATGGGGCTTTTAACTCCAAGCCACTGATGGTAATTTTTGGTTGCTTGCCTGAGTTGCCTGGAGCAACAGAAAACATCACCTTAGTTTTATTCAGGCTAATTGCCAGCCCATGCGTTGGTCCTAAATTTGAGGAATGATTGACAGCCCGATACATAGCTTCAAGTTCACAGTCATTAGCACACAGACACTCAGGTCTAGTCTGCCCCAAAGACGTGTATAGAAACCAGCCACCCACTGAGCCCAAGCAGCACTGGAGGGAAGCAATACATCCTTCCTTAGGGGTCCACAGCTTTCTTCCTGCACTAACCATGTCTGCACGGAACAAGGCCTGTTTGTGACCCTGTTCGACATGCATTTGTGTGAAGAGGCAGTTCAGACTAGGTGCTGTCTATTCTGACTCGGCCAGTTAAAATAGATGTAGTCACAGGACTGGCTCTCTTTGTTGATGGATTCCTGGAGTAACCAAGTATGTTGAGCATTGACTAGGTTAAAAATAGTAGCATGTAAGCCTACGGGTTGCTCTCGTGTTTCTTTTCATTTTAGAAAGACTGACACTTGCTCTGCAGCTTCTCTGTCATTTTAAGGGTCACACATACTTGCAGAATTGGTGTCTGTAAGGTCTAGATAATATTTTCCTCTTTCCCTTTAAAGCATAAACCTTTATTCTTTCTCTATTGCACTTTCGAGCTATAGTCCCCACGCAGTGAAACACAATTGTTTTATGCCTGTCATCTTTTTGGTTCTTCGAATGCTTTGTTGTGCAATTAAACTTGGACTAAAATTAAAATCCCCATAAACCAGCTGTCAGAGGTTGCCTCTGCAAACAACAAGGTGGATGTCAAAGGAGACATCTTTGTCGGGAAAATACATTGCAGTTATATAGCAGACTTTCCCCAATTCGTGGGTCTCTGCTCCTCCCCCAGAGTGGCTTTCCTGCTTCTGGATCCTGAGAGTCTTCTTGTGCCCTTTAGGGAAAACGTCCTCCCGACATAGGGTCCTGCTTTCTGAGGAATGCTTCTCCCAGCCTTGCCTCTCAGAGCATTGCATGCAGGGATGTCAGGCTGACCAACCTTCTCATGCTTTTTCCAGAACTGGTTTGTCCATATTTTCCTTCATCTTCCATCATCCAGTATTTACCTGCTCATCCCCCGTGGGGCCACAAGGGCGGTCATGGGGCTCCATCCATCTCCTTCCCTGTTTGCACAGTAGAGTTCTGTCATGTGACTTTTCAAACTAGAGCCCGGTGGAAAAAAATTCTGACCAAGAATATTTTTGTTCGCCCTGCATAGTGTTCTAAAAATTAGAGAATTTCACCCAAACCATCTGGATTTTCAGCTTCTTTGAAAAAATGAGAAGATGTTTTCGTCTTAGAAGGCATTTCTAAAAGATGCTAGCTGAGCTGAGCAGCAGCCGACCTTGACAGGCGGTGTTGTAGGACTAAGCCCTCGAGCACAGTCTGTTCTTCCTGCTCTGGGCTTTTGACTTCTGGTTTAAAACCGTTAGGAAGAAGAGCTTTCTAGATCAGAACCACCGCTCACAGCGGAGTTCTTCCAGAGATTGTAACACTGAAGGAACAAACAAAACTCTCAAGGCAGGTCCTCTACTGGCCTGTAGGCTTTCTTTGTCTTTCTGCTTCGGCATGTATGGCTGGACAGAAGCATCCAGATGTGCAGATGTGCAGACATGTACGGCCGGACAGAAGCATCCAGATGTGCAGATGGGCAGACATGTACGGCCGGACAGAAGCATCCAGATGTGCAGACGGAAGATGAGGATGAAACACCCCTGCAGCCCCACAGCCTCCTTCCCGTGTGGCTACACGAGAGTCTGTAACAGGTGCCATCAGGCTGATGAAAAACAAGGGGGCAGTTGTACAGCCGAGGTACCTGTCAGGATGCCACAGACAGTTACTGTAACACAGAATGACTTCTTTTTCACTTCCCGGAACAAACGTTTTTCAAGAGAACGGAGGCTTAGCCAGATATTTTGATATCTTATGTGTAAAAATAATTTTTTTTGAAGCTAAATTGTAAGCAGTTTTCTTCAAAGGCAGCCATCACTGCCTTTGGCTAGGATCTCACTTTGTTTTCTCAGCTGACTGACCATTAACCCTTTCAAGCCTGGCTGATTGCAAGTGTGCTGTGAACATAATACCTACTCAGAGCCACTAAGAACTACATGAGATATGTGTAGGGGGTTGGTACACAGGAGGTATCAGGGCTCTAGGACTTGCCTTCTCTGGGGGCTTCCCATTCGTATCTTGCTTACCTCCAACTACCCTGCAGGGGGCAGTGTAACACCGGGGCTGAGGACCGAGGAAGGCGGTGTCCCTTAGAAATGAGTGACTTCAGGCAAAGAGCTCCAATTCCCCGCTTCTCAGAATCATTCTCTGTAAAAGAGCTGAAAATGATAGCATTTGAGTTTAGGATGAGACCTGACATTTAAAGCGTTTGGCACAGATCCTGGCCCACAGTGTGGGCCCAGCATTGTTTTTAAGGGTCATTACTACCACCCCTCATAGTGCCTTGGCAGTAGAATGTATTAGCTTTGATGGCAAAGCCCATGGGCGTCCCCCAGAAATCTGAACAGTGTCCCTTTGAAACCCCCTTACCACTGCCCTTGTTCTGTTGCTGACCGAAGGCCTTCAGCTTAGTCAGCCTGAGAATAAAGAGGGGATTTCCAGCAGGGGAGGTCGAGGGAGGGATGGCCATAGAATTCCGTACTAACTCTGGTCTCTTGAACCCACAGTCTCCCGCTGACTCCTTTGAGGTTGATCATCCCCCAAATTCTAGGTGTCTGGGCTCCTACCTCCAAAATAACAGCAGACTTTTATCCTTCCTATTTGGACTGCCAGTCCTTCCTCTGAAGAGCTGATTGGAGAGGGGTGGCCCTCCACGCAGGAGGCTCCTACTCATTCTCCTGTCGGTCTCTACAATGTTGCTCTGGCTCCCACATCCGCCACCATCTGTGCCTCCTGCTTCGGCTTCCGGGTTCTTCTGGCTTGTGAGGACTAAGCTGCAAGATTGAGGAGAGCTACTTCCAGCTCACGTGACTCATATTCGAGACCTGGAATGCAATAGTAGATAACAGCCTTTAAAACCCAGCACGTGTTGGTCTGATGTTAGACTTAGGTAGCACCACAAGTCTGATGTTCTGGGGGAAACAAGACTATTTTTATTCAAGAACAACAAGTAATGTCTTCATGCAGGAAAGACAAATTTACCAAATTTTGATGCTGTGTTTATAAAGGGAGGACATTTGTGTCATGATGGACCTGGCTAGCAGCATCATGGAATCTGGGACATCCTTCAACCAGCCCTGTGCAGGCTTGGCTTGGTAACACAGCTTAATTCCAGCTCAGACCCTCAGAATGAGAGAAGCTGACTTACACCCTAGTCTAAGCTTGGAGACTTGATAGCTGCTGGAGAAGGGGTACACTATGACAGTTCACAAGCCAAGTAACCTGGGGTTCTGGTGGCCAAGTGCAGACGTGGAGGGGAGTCCTACTCCAGAAGAGAAAGGTTGCGAGTCATCTTCATGTGTCTTTTCCTTTTCCATTTTGTCTGAATCCCAAGGTGACTTGAAGGTGCTGACTACAGTGAATTTGGTCTCCATCAACTGTTGTGGCATTCCCTCTGGGAACACAGCTGTGCTCAAAGAGAGAGCCTCACCTGTCATCTGGAAGTCCACCCAGTACAGCTGACACCGATGACTGACCACTACACCACGGTGGAGAAAACAAAGTAGTTGGGAACTGACAGCATTATGTAAGGAGGGTGTGTAGCCAGACTTTCTTTGTACAGACAGCTCTCAAATAATGACATGGAGACTTCTTATTAAGTGTGAAAGCTTGACCTTAACTTAGGCTTGTTACCAACTAGCTCTTATAGCTTAAATTAGCATGTTTATATTAATCTATGTTTTGCCACATGGCTTGTTAGCTCTCCTCCGTATAGTTTCACTTCTTGTGTGACCTGCTGGTGAATCACCCCTACACCCCTGCACACCTCAGATTTATATCAGAGTTCCTATCTCTGCCCAGAAGCTCCTCTTCTGCCTAGCTATTGGCTGTTCAGCTCTTAGTTAAACCAATTAGAAGATTGACAGAGACACATCTTCACAGTGTACAAAAAGATTATCCCACACAGGGGTGTGTGGCTGGTGGGTGATGGACGTGAGTGTGACAGGAATGTAAGAAGGTATATCAGTATGGTGCTTTATAGCATTTAGCTTTTCTCTCTCTCTCTCTCTCTCTCTCTCTCTGTCTCTCTCTCTCTGTCTCTCTCTGTCTGTCTCTGTCTGTCTCTGTCTGTCTCTGTCTCTCTCTCTCTCTCTCTCTCTCTCTAT